TTTCCTACATTTTGGAAAGATGGTGTACATCCTGTGCCATGGTGTGGGGGGAAGAATGTGATCTCTCTGCTTTTTTATTTTGATTTTACAGGGGTTTACAGCTTAGGGGTTGCATGGGTCTCAGAAGAGATTTAGAACTTTGAAGTTTATAATGTGCTGAGATTGTTATAGACTATTAGACTATGAGGACTTTTAAGGTTGGGCTGAATGCATTTTGCTTTATGCTATTTCTACAAGACTAAGGGAACCTGGAAGATGAATGTTGTGGTTTGAATGTGAATGCTACCAAAGGCTCATATATTGAAATCTTGATCATCAAGGAATAGCACTGCTTGACAAGGGTGTGGGATGTGTAGCCTCATTAGAGTAATGTTGCATTGTTTGAGTACAAGAGTCAGAGTAAAGGCTTTGGTTTTCAAAATGCCAAGCCAGGCCTAGTGCTCTCTCTCTCTCTCTCTCTCTCTCTCTCTCTCTCTCTCTCTCTCTTTCTTTCTCCTTTCCTGCAGCCTGTGGATCCATGTGTAGAATTCTCAGCCCTTTCCCCAGCCCCATGGCTGCCTGTGTGCATCTCACTGTGATGAGAATGGACTGACCTCTGGAACTGAAAGCAAGCTGCAATTAAATGCTTTCATTAATGACGTTTGCTGTGTTCATGAGGTCTCTTCACAGCAATACAACACTGACTAAGACATTTTCTTATGTATTCCATGCATAGAAACACCATGATTGATTAGCTACAACCAAAGTTCCAGGGGAGTCAAGGCACTTTAAAATTCACATTGCCTGTGATGACCATCACCGTGTAGGGTAGTCCATTGCAGACATTACGTTCTCTGTACTTCCCATCATGATAGTTACAATCATCCTGCCTTTAGTGATTGGATGCTGCTACCTGACCCCTGTTAACAATTAAACTCACTGCATGTAATTCATCCAATGCAGCAGCAGCATATCCAATCCCAATGTCTGGCACAAGGAAAAGGACAACAACAAAGCTCTTCAAATGTGCTGGTGCCCATGTAGATGTTATGTGTCTGACAATATCAATGAAGGGCGTGTCTCCTGAGCCTTCCCATGACAAAGAATTAAGTTTTACACAGCATAACCACTCTACTATGTGATCTCCCTGAGCCTTAAAATTCCCCTAGCAACACTAATCAAACAGATATTAGGCATCTTCAACTCCTTTTCAGTGGACCATCTTTGGAAAAGTACGTCAGCCAAAGATTGAAACACAGTTCCAACATGATTTTAAAATGTGAAAGCTTCTACACTAAAGCTACAATCTCCACACAGAGTTCCCATATCCAAAAACTCAGCCTGACCCAGTTTTATGTTCCTTCCACCATGACCCCACACCCTCAAAATCCATTCCCACACATATTCCCTAGTCTTCTGCTGAATGAATTAGCAAACTCGACAAGCTCCTTACATGTGTGCACAGAAGTACAGGGCTCCTCCTCATGGACTACACACTCTACCTCCCCTCCTGGAAACTACTTTGTCTGAAGTCTGGTTATAGGCCTAGAGACAGGTAACACAGCCGCTGAAAAACACTGGACTTGAGAAAGGACTGCTGGATTAGATCAGCATATGTATGTGAGAACCTCAGAATGGAAGGAAGGAAATGTGTTGAGTTCAGAGAGATGTTTTGCCTCTGTTTCAACAAGAGAAGAAAAGCTGTGTATTTTTTCCAAATTAATAAAGATCCTGAAAATCTTGGCTGCAAAAATGAAAGAAGAAAACAAGTAGAACAACAAAACAAAACATGAATTCTCTTCCCTCTATGGGGAAACAACTCAGAAAAAGGCTGAGACATGAATGTCTCCATCCAGAACTTCAGCTACTCATAGACAATAAATCTTGTTGGCTACAAAGTCCACATGGCTTCTCCAGTTACCCTTTCCTATGGAATGGGTGGATATTTATATTGTAGCTTGGGTATATAGCACAAACAGACTTATAGAGATTAGCCATACATGTGTTAATGCAGAAATGTATATTACCTATAAAAGTTTGTGAGTTTACAGAGAAAAGACCAGACATCAAAGAAGACAAATAGCCTGGACAATGCAACCTCATATAGCCTCAATAGCTGTCTCCTCAAAAGAATGCATCCAGAACAACTTCAAAACAGCTAAAGTCTTCCAGCCTCATAGATTGCTCCATACAGGACTTCAGTTAAGCCCTGCACTTTCCTATCATAAAGACACCGGCCAGCCAATGTTACAGCTAGATTTCTTAGGACTTGACCATTATCCTAATTAACTTAGGGCCTCTGAAATATATCAGCATTCCCAGAAAGCAGGAAACAATTTTAAGAACACTAAGCCCTCATTCCCAAGAGTGGGATGGTAGCCATTTGGTTGTGGAGTGTGTGTAGAATGTTTGTCGTTGGGAAAGTAGGGGTAGACACAAGATCTTAAAGGTCCTGGTCAGGGAGGAAAGGAGATTAGATTCAGGAATTTCTTTATCTCTTTTTCTTTCTTCTGTCTTTCTTTCTCTACAATCTAACATTAGGGTTGGAGTGGGAAAAGGGATGAAAAGAAAAAATGTGGTTTGTATGCATGAATTTTTCTCAACCTACTCAAATAAATGTTCAGCCTCTCCTTTTGCCCACCACTCAGAAGAGATAGTGGAAGAGAAAAGTTCTTAGGTTATGGAGGAAGCAGACGTGTTCAATAATAGTTCTTTGAGGGCATGTTCAATCTCCTTTGCCAGAAGTTCAGTCCAGTAGCAAACACGAAATACAAATAACAGATGCAATCCAGTCCTCTTGGCAGGCAGACACCATGCCCTAAACAGCGATTGTAGTTCAATCCTGAAGAAATCACAAGGCTCACTAAACAAGAAGCCTCAGGAACCTCACAAGCAGTACTTGGAGAGTTTCTCTCAATGGCAGCGTTACGACAAGCGGATCTCAAAAGCCATGTAAGGCAAATCATTACATGCAGGTCGTTAGTGAAGAATAGCAAGGCAGAGCACACCAGACTGAAGCTTACTGCTCATCTCCGACTGTCTGTGGGGTCATATTTATACTCCTTCATCACAGGTCCTTTCATGTGTCTGCTATAGCAAAACATCTTTTGTGTGTGTGTGTGTGTGTGTGTGTGTGTGTGTGTGTGTGCGTGTGTGTGTGCGTGAGCGCACGTGCTTCAGGAAAACATTCTTTCACTTGTTGCTCCAGCAAACCATCACTTGATATAACTGACTTTCCAAAGAAACTAGAAGTTTCCAAGTCAGGACTATAAAGGAATGATAGGATAAAAGGGTAGATTGTTGACTCTCCTTTTAGATTAAAGAGCATGAACTACTAGTCTCACATATTTTACATTGGTTTGGATTTTTGCATATTGAGAGAAATTTAAGCTTACATTTTGCTGCAATATACCACATACATGCTTCAACTCTTGTCTAAGGTATTGTACCTATGCAACTCATTTAAAAATGTAATGTAACATTCTAGTCCTTGAAAGAAACTATTGCAAATAGTTAAAGATAATTAAGAAATTCAAGTGGGTAGTCAGTCAATCAAACTTATGAACATGTTAGGTACTAGTTGTGTTAATTACAGAAATAAGCTTTCTTTAGCCTCTTGTAGATGTTTCCAAAGTTGAACACAGAGTAGATAGCTAGAAACAACCAACACTTGCCTATTTTGATATACTGTAGATACATAAGTAGTCTTCAAAAATCTCAGAGATCTATAGGATATGGCATTCAAAACTGTTTTATTAACACAAAGCTTTCCACAACAGTGTGACATAACTGTCCCTGGCAGCACCCCCATTCTACTTCAGAGAGGATCATGGGCATTGAAGAACCTCCATATGTAGTTTGTTTCAAATGTGGCAAAGCCATGTACCAGCCAAAAACCTGCCCTTGCTTCAACTGCAGACTGCATGCTGTCCTAACTGTGGACAAGCAGAACACAGAGGAAGTTGACTGGTGAGCTTTGCCAAGACAAGTTGGGTAAGTCCTTCAATATTCTGCTTCACAAAAAAGTCCATCATTTACTGAGTCAATAGCTTGAAGATGGATGCTCCAGCACTGCAGGAGACTCTTGGGTGACTGTCCAGGCTGCTAGAGATCCCTGCTATTTCTGTAGCTTTGGAAGGAAGCTGCTTGCTCTGCACTTCCTGTTTACTCAGGGAATATTTATCCTTCTCAGGTCACTGATGGGGTGGAAGACTAAATAGTTACAATCTCACATTAAGCTTAAGTTGAGATTCTGAGTTCAATTCCCAGCAACAACATGGTGGCTCACAACCATCTATAATTAGATATGAGTCCTCTTCTGGTGTGTCTGAAGACAGTGAAAGTGTACTCACATACATAAAATAAGTAAATCTATAAAAAAAAAAGAAAAGGAAAGAAGAAAAAATAAAAAACAAAAAAAACCCTGGTTATCATTTAAAAAAAAAAGAAAGTGATTTAGGTCTAGGAAGATTTTTTTTATGCAAAGAATTTCAAGTTACAATAGAAAGGGAATTAGGCAAAGATCTTTGGACTGATAGGATAGATAGGGCTTTGGAGTTATAGGTAATAAATAATAAAGTAACTTCTCAAAGTTCGTCAAATACAAATGAACCAGACACTTTTTTTTGAACCAGAAATTTTTAATGATATTCTTATATTTCTTATAATAAGAATTTATGAGGGCTGGAGAGATGGCTCAGCGGTTAAGAGCACTGACTGTTCTTCCAGAGGTCCTGAGTTCAATTCCCAGCAACCACATGGTGGCTCACAACCGCCTGTAATGGGATCTCATGCCCTCTTCTGGTGTGTCTGAAGACAGCTACAGTGTACTCATATAAATAAATATTTTTAAAAAAAAAGAATTTATGAACATTCTTAACTTTTAAAATTAATTCTTAATTAAGTAAACAAATAATTAATTAAAATTAATGTAATTCTTAATAAATAATTAATATTTCTTAATTAAGTTCTTATTTTTTATAATTACACTTTTATACTTATTCTCATTGTATATAGTTGATGTCAGAGAAAGAGCCTTTTATAGGACTAAAGGGGACAATGTTGAGGTATTGCTGTTGTACACTGTGTGAAGATGAGTCTCTGTCCTACCTTGTCTACCTAACGCACCTTCTGAGTGGTAAAATAAAAAGCCTATGTCCCGTAGTAAAGGAGAGTTAAAGACAGGATTCTCGTCAGAGAGAGGAACTCTGGGAAGAGAAAAGCATCAGAGATTTGCCACCCAGACTCTGAGGAAGCAGGATGTGTGAAACTGAGGAGAGGTGACCAGCCACCTGGCAGAACTTAGAATAGTATAAATGGGATAACTGAATATGAGAGAGCTGGGAACAGGCCTAGCATAAAGCCTAGGCATTCATAAATAAATGTAAGACTGCTGTCATTATTCAGAGCAAGGGCGGGCCAGCAGGAATGTCTCACAGATGCAGCAAGAGCAATCAGACAAAGAGCAAGCCTTTCCTTCTTCCATGTCTTCATGTAGGCTTTCAGCAGAAGGTGTGGCCCAGATTACAAATGGGGGAAAGGGTTCAGTCAAATATTCTGGATTACAGATTTGTCTTCTTCCTACCGCAAAGAAAAGGATCAGAAATTGATCTTCCCACTTCAAATTAAGCAAAAACTCCTCACAGATGTTGCCCTCCATTTTGGGGTTTAGTTCATCCCACGTGTAACTGACATCCAAGAATCAACATCACAGTCCCAGTCAGAGTTCTGGAACTACTCTGTATGGGGCTTTGTGGCTCCTTTCAGCACTCATGGCTCTGCCTCCTGCCACCCATCTGACAGGGAGTTTTCTTCCCACAGGTGGAAAAGCATGGAAAGTTCTTCTGGATGTAAGTTTGATGAGAGCAAGGCAACATGAGACCTGAGACCCCTGGAGAAGTGCAGACAGGAAGAGGCCCTGGGGCAGCTCAGCCAGCCTGGATCCCCTTTACCCTCAGCTCTGTGGGCTCAGGCTCTGTCCTCTTCGTCTCTTCCACCAGGTGGCGCTGTTGCCCAAGAATGTGATGCTTCTCTATCATCTTCAACAGTAGAGACCTTGGAGGGTCTGCAGAGGAGAGAAGATGGGGAAAGGGGACACCTTTCTCTGCAGGAACACTCTGAATATTGGGATGTCATAGTCTGTGATAAATTAGCATCCAAACGACTGAGCGGAATTTTTTTTTTTTTTTTTTTTTTTGGTTTTTCGAGACAGGGTTTCTCTATGTAGTGCTGAGTGTCCTGGAGCTCACTCTGTAGACCAGGCTGGCCTCGAACTCAGAAATGAGTGGAATTTATTTTATTTGTGGGTAATCAAAAACAAACATTGGTTCAAGTATACACTGTGTCTTCTTCCTGGAAAGAGCCTGTATCCACTGTGCACAGTAGGTCCAAAAAATGAAATATCTTTTGCATTTTTAATTTTATGATTTTTATAAGTTATCTTTCCGCAAAGTCTATTTTAGTCATCTGTTCCTGTCCTAATCTAGAGCTGGCTTGATTGCCTGGTGGTGTACTGTTGTCTAAAAAGCCCTGTCCTCTCAGGGCTGGGCCTCACACTCTAATTGTGTAGGAGAAAGAGACAGCATATTTTTCAAATCATATTTTTAAAATTTGATTGTTATTAGATGGATTTGTTTTTCATATATGAGTATAGGTACACAATCATTAGAGCCCCTGGAACTGAATTTACAGTGGTTGACAGCCACCATGTGCTGATGGAACTCACCCTGGATCCTCTGCAACAGCAAGAAGTGCTCTTAGATGCTGAGCCATCTCTCCAGCCACTATTGGAATGTTTACATAAGGAAACCACACAGCTGATTCACAGCATGCTGCCTGAGAACTGTGAGAGAAACTAGATGCACAAGAAAAGACAGGGTCAGTGCAGAGCTCAGGAGGGAGGGGTGCTGGGCACTGATGGGGTGAGGCCTGAGGGACAGAGACAGAGAGGAGCTAAACAGAAGGAGACAGAGGCATAGGGACAGATGCTAACTCAGCAGAGTCCCCTGTTTAAGGTTATTTCTGTCGGACTGCACTGGACACATCTGCAGAACCCTGCTGGCATCTTACATTTCATAGTGAACGCTGTGCTGGTTTGAATGAGAACAGCCACACAGGCTCACAGGAATTAATATTTCAAATCCAGCTGATGGAACTGTTCAGAAAGGATTGGGATGTGTGGCCTTGTTGGAGGATGTGTGCCACTGGATTGGTGCTGAGGTTTTAACAGACTTCACTATTCCCAGTGTCTCAGCCTGGTGCTTTCATATCAAGTCCTGAGCTCTCAGCTGTTCCTCCACCACACCTCTCTTCTGCCATCTTGGACTCAAAACCTCTGAGACTAAAGAAGAGATTAGATATTTCCTTTTATAAATTGCCTTGGTCACAGTGTCTTATCACAGCAATAGAAAAGTAACTAAAGCTAGTGTGGTTACACATACCTTCAATCCCAGTGTGGTGGACTGAATAGGTGGTTCCCATAGACTCATGTGCTTGAAAGCTTGGCCCATAAAGAGTGGCACTATTAGGAGGTGTGGCCTTGTGGGAATAGGCATGGCCTTGTTGGAGAAAGTGTGTGACTGTGGGGGTGTTCTCTGTGGTCTCTATGCTCATGCTGTGCCCAGTGTAGAATGAGAGCCTCTTCCTGGCTGCCTTTGGATCAAGATGTAGAAGTCTCTGCTCCTCCAGCACCATGTCTACCTGCACACTGGCATGCTTCCTGATATAACTGACTATATTCCTGAAACTGTAAGCCATCCACTATTAAATGTTTGCATTTAGAGCGGTTGTCTAGGTCATGGTGTTTTTCACAGCAATAAAGCCAACACTAAAATTCTTACCACTTGGGATGCAAAGGCAGATGTATCTCTGTGAGTTCAAGGCCAGCTTGGTCTACATTGTAACTTCTAGGACAACCAGAGCTGTGTAGAGAGACTTTTTCTCAAAAAAAAAAAAAAAAAAAAAACAGAATAAAATAAGAAGGAAAGAAACAAAGACAGATCCTTTCTGTGAAGCTGCCTATCCCCAACAGCATCCTTAGGTTGGTCAGGATGAAATCTAAGAGCATCAAGTTCCCATGGAAAATACTCACAGCACCTTATAAGAGCGGTTCATGGAAATAGGTACAGCTGAATCCTGGTGAGGCTGCTGGGCTGCTGTGGAGACCTGCATGGGGAGGTGACTGGAGCTCACACCTGTGGTCACACACATTTGTTGCTCTGTGTGATGTGTGACTCTCATCAAGAGTCCCCACCCATCTCTGCTCTTCTTTCCTATTCAGTTCTGTGGCTGAGGTGTGAAGAGATCCACAAGATCAAAAAATGTAAAAATTTAATCTTTCCCCACACTACTGATCAGGGATGAAACCTCACATCACCAGTGTGTACTCTCTGCCATGAGAATCGTCTTTCTTCCAGTGTTCACACTGAACAGGCCTGAGGAATATTTAGGTCAACTTGGTTATCAGATCCAGTGTCACAAACAGCTGTGACATTCATGTCCCTCACCTCATCAGCTCATAAGTGTGAGTGAAGGTCAGGGAGGGAGTGAGAAGGTCAGAGATTACATAACTTCTACCACACTATCATCATTATTCTGTGTTTTAGTCAGTGGTAGTTTCTCTCCTACTGTGATTGAGTCACTAGATCAACTGTACCATGGAAGTGCAGACACAGGGCAAGTGCAGTGTAGACAGGGATCAGTGCTCTGCCGTCTGTGGTCTCCAAGGGGTCTCTCTTCAGTGGACAATGGGAGTCTACTGTTTTCAGACAATGACCCAGGTTCACATGGTCAAACTCAAGACACAGAATGAAGATCCTTGTTTAAAAAAAAAAAGTACCGACCTGGAGACACAGACTCTTCAACCAGGAAGTAACAGGAGGAATCCATGTCTAAGCACAAGGCTGAGAAGATAGATCCTAAGGGAAGAGGCAAAGTCTCCTCTTTACAGATGAGAGTCCTGCACTCAGACTTGGGAGAGTGAACTGCACACTGCAGGTTGACAGAGCCTAGTCTCTGTGGGGTTTGTGTGGGGCTTGAAGGCCAGAGCCTCTGCTTTAAGAAGAAGCATCTCTCCACTGCATCCCCAACTGCTTGTGTTGCCATTGTATTCCCGGAAGTGGCTTTTCTTCTAGAAGACTCCAGAGTCTGACTTCTGAAGAGAAGGAAGAGGAAGGGTGGAGGAGAGGACACAGAGTCTGGCCTGCAGGTCTCTCCTGGTGTCCAGACAGCTTCTGGGTCAAAACTTGGAGACACCATGACAAACAGCGCTCTGTCCACAGCACAGGGTTCGGGCAAAGTCTTAGTCTCCAGGAGGTGAGGTCAGGGGTGGGGAAGCCCAGGGCTGTGGATTCCCCATCTCCCCAGTTTCACTTCTGCTCCTAACCTGAGTCAGGTCCTTCTGCCTGGACACTGATGACGCACTGACAGGTGTCACCCCATTGGGTGGCGTGAACTCGGGGAACCAATCAGCGTAACAGCTGGCATTGATTATAAAGTCCACGCAGCGAGTGGGACTCAGACACCCTGGGTCCCAGATGGGGGGCGATGGTGCCACGCATGTTGCTCCTGCTGCTGGCGGCCACCCTGGCCCCGATCCAGACCCACGCGAGTGAGTGCGGGGTTGGGAAGGAAGCGGGCTTTGCGGGGAGGGGTGGGGGCGGCACCGGGGAAGCCGCATCCTCGCGTTGGCCACCGGACCCCCGCCCATTCTCCACTCGCATCCTGCTCCCCTCTTGGCCCACGCACCCGCCCGGGGTCCCAGGAGGAGGTCGGGGTCTCACCGCATGCTGTCCCCAGGGTCACACTCGCTGCGGTATTTCTTCACCGCCGTGTCCCGGCCCGACCTCGGGGAGCCCCGATACATGGAAGTTGGCTATGTGGACGACACGCAGTTCGTACGCTTCGACAGCGATGCGGAGAATCCCAGATATGAGCCACAGGCGCCGTGGGTGGACCAAGAGGGGCCGGAGTATTGGGACCAGCAGACACAGATCGCCAAGAACACAGAGCAGTGGTTCCGAGTGAGCCTGAGGACCCTGCGCAGCTACTACAACCAGAGTGAGGGCGGTGAGTGACCCCAGGTCGGAGGTCACGACCCTTCCAAATCCCAACACAGGGGCCGGAGACGTCCCGGGTCCCAAGTCCAAGGTTTGAAGCAGAAGCGACCCGGGACCGGTTTCCCTTTCAGTTTGAAGGAGTCTGTGGGTGGGCCGGGCCGGAGCGGGTGGGCGGGGCTGACCACGGGTCCCATAGGCTCTCACACGCTCCAGTGGATGCAAGGCTGTGACGTGGGGTCGGACGGGAGTCTCCTCCGCGGGTATGAGCAGTATGCCTACGACGGCCGAGATTACATGGCCCTGAACGAAGACCTGAAAACGTGGACAGCCGCGGACGTGGCGGCGCAGATCACCCGACGCAAGTGCGAGCAGAATGGTGATGCAGAGAGACAGAGGGCCTACCTGGAGGGCGAGTGCCCAGAGTCGCTCCGCACACTCCTGGAGCGCGGGAAGGAGACACTGCTGCGCACAGGTGCAGGGGCCGCGGGCAGCTCCTCCCTCTGCCCTCGGGCTGGGGCTCAGTCCTGGGGAAGAAGAAACCCTCAGCTGGGGTGATGCCCCTGTCTCAGAGGGGAGAGAGTGTCCCTGGGTCTCCTGATCCTCATCACAGTGACTGCACTGACTCTCCCAGGGCTCAGCCTTCTCCCTGGACAGTTCCCAGTCTGTCTCAGGAAGGAAGGAGAGGATTTCCTGACTTAACAGCAGGGGCTCCCTGCTGTCAGCCATGGCCTCTCCCTGGCCCAACTCTGCCCACACCCACGGTCTGTGGACACTGACTCCTGTGTTGCTGAGTGTGTCAGCCCTTACACCTCAGGACCAGAAAATTTCCTTTACCTGATGGATTTCCCTACACTAGGCTGGTTGCCTAGTTTCTAGAATGTTCCAAAGAATACATTCTCACAGATCCCTCCCTGTCTGTGGGGTTTGCATCTCTTTGACAACCCAATTCTATCTATTCTTACAGTGGTGAATGGTCACATGAGCCTTTATGGAGTACCCTGGAGGAATATAAACTGTGGAATTGCTTTTTCTTTTATTTCCCCTCTCTTTTCTTTTTCTTATTTCTTACCTTCTTTTTAATTTTTTCTTTCTTTTTTGTTAAGGCATTATTTTGCTTCCAGTCAGTTTTTGTCTGCATTGGAGTGACACTGTTTCTCCAGGCCCTTGTATTTCATTTGTATCAGTTTCCACAGATTGGGTGATTACACAAGTTAATCAGGGTTCTCATCAAAGGAGAGATTCTTGTGAGCTTAGACTGTTTACTGTCAGAACTAAACATCCAGATCCCTCCTGCTCTTCCTCTGCCCCCACAAGTTACAGTGCTCCCCCTAGTGAAAAGAAATGGGACTTTCTGAGAGACGGGGTCGAACTAAACATCCAGAACCCTCCTGCTCTTCCTCTACCCCCACAAGTTACAGTGCTTTCCCTGGTGAATCAGGAACTGGACTTTCTGAGAGACACTGTCTTCTGAAATCCAGGGCTGGAGTGAGAGGGAAGTTTCACACAACCTGTGAGCCACTGAGTGCTGCACTGGGGTCCACAGCACACTCCAGGGATCCTGTGTAACACACTGATATCTTGTCTTCCCAGAGACTGGGTCTGCCAGTCATTTTCTCTGGCTGAGTGTCAGAGGTTCACCACATTTCTGCTACACACTTTCTGATGGCTATTCACTTGGACTCATGGTTAATCCTGGTCAGCCAGATGACCACAGTGGTTGAGTCTCAGTGGTGTCAGCCTTCCAGGAGCATATGGCCCTAATTTCTGATTTTGACATGAACTCAAACACATATATAAAGTATATATTTTCCATTCCATCTTCCATTCTTTGACTATGTATTTCATGCTATAGAATATCACATGGCTTGTATGGATTCTCTGTTATCTTCTGAGTCCCCCAGGAAAATTGGCAGTTCTGTGCTGAGGGGACCAGCTCTGCCTTCAGGTCACTAGTGAAATGAAAGTTGAAGTGTCAAACAGACACATAGTTCAGTGTTGTCATTGATTTAACTGAGTCTTGCGTAGATTTCAGTTTGTCTTGTTAATTGTATGATTTTTTAAATCTTCTACACAGATCCTCCAAAGGCACATGTGACCCATCACCCCAGATCTGAAGGTGATGTCACCCTGAGGTGCTGGGCTATGGGCTTCTACCCTGCTGACATCACCCTGACCTGGCAGTTGAATGGGGAGGAGCTGACCCAGGACATGGAGCTTGTGCAGACCAGGCCTTCAGGGGATGGAACCTTCCAGAAGTGGGCATCTGTGGTGGTGCCTCTTGGGAAGGAGCAGAATTACACATGCCATGTGCAACATGAGGGGCTGTCTCAGCCCCTCACCCTGAGATGGGGTAAGGAGCGTGTGGGTGCATAGCTGGGGTCAGGAAAAGATGGAGCCTTCTTCAGAACCTGAGCTGGTCAGGGCTGAGACCTGGAGTCATGATCCTCACCTTCATTTCCTGTACCTGTCCTTCCCAGAGTCTCCTCCATCCTCTGACTCTAAAATGGCAATCATTGCTGTTCTGGTTATTGTTGGAGCTGTGGCTATCATTGGAGCTGTGGTGGCTTTTGTGATGAAGAGGAGGAGAAACACAGGTAGGAAAGGGCAGGGTCTGAGTTTTCTCTCAGCCTCCTTTAGAAGTGTGCTCTGCTCATTAATGGGAAACTCATCCACACCTCGCATTGCTACTGTCTCCTACTGGGTCTGCTGTCATTTCTGGAAACTTCTAGTGTGAAGGTCTTCCTTGAACTCTCACAGCTATTCTTCTCACAGGTAGAAGAGGAGGAGACTATGCTCCAGCTCCAGGTTAGTGGGGGGGGGGGGTGGGATTGCTCTGAGGCCATTGGAGTGAAGCTGGAGATGTTGGGAGCTCTGGGAATCCATAATAGCTCCTCCAGAGAAATCTTCTTTGGGCCTGAGTTGTACCTTGATATGAATACATACACATACACATACACATACACATACACATACATTTGTCTTGTTTTACTCTAGGCAGGGACAGCTCCCAGAGCTCTGATATGTCTCTCTCATATTGTAAAGGTGACACTCTGGGGCTGGACTGGGGAGGGGCAATGTGGACATGATTGGGTTTCAGGGACTCCCAGAATCCCCTGTGAGTGGTGGGTTGTTGGAATGTTGTCTTTACAGTGATTGTTCATTATCTCATTCTCTAGCGTGAAGACAGCAGCCTAGAGTCAACTGAGTGACAGCCAGTGTGTTCAGGTCTCTCCTGTGACATCCAGAGCCCTCAGTTTTCTTTAGACAACAGTGTCTGATGTTCCCTGTGAGCCTATTGACTCAATGTGAATAATTGTGAAGCCCAGTCTTGTGAGAAAAATCACGTGCAGTGGTGGCTCCGGAACCACATGGCAGTGACCCTCAAGGTTGGGGGACGGCAGAGTTCCGGAGGCTTTCCACACTGGCAGGTCCCACATATAGGAGAAAGTCTGAAGTTTCAAAGGCTGGAAGCTTTGGCATCAGCAGGTCCCAGAAGACACGTGGAGTCCATGGATTTAAGAAGTTTATTGTTCATGGTGTGGTAGTTGGATCTGGAAGTGTACCCCCTGCCAATGCAAAAGCCAGGGGGGAGCTTGCTTAAATAGGGGAGGGGGAAGAGGGGCTTGGAAAAGGAATGATTTAATTAGCTATCCCCTCCCTACCTTAGGTAACTCATGAATATGGAAATCTGTGTTAGTCACACCCTCTACCTAGATGATGAGGAGCTACTCTGAGCCAAAGGCATCTGCAAGGTGCAGGCTAATGGGGATGTAGGCTGCATGTGGGGCTCTGGAATCTGGGGGCTTGGGTAGATACATGCTGTCCCTCACCAGACAATGGTCCACATGTTGGGTCTTCGGCTATCTCAAACCCAGTGCTCTACTGGAGAGACCAAATCATCCCTTTGAAGCCCCACACAGTCTTCCCTTGCATACCAGGATTCTATCTCTCCACTGCCTGTGTTCCCTTCCACAGCCAACCTTCCTGGTCCAGCCAAACACTGGGGGACATCTGCATCCTGTCAGCTCCATGCTGCCCTGAGCTGCAGCTCCTCACTTCCACACTGAGAATAAGAATCTGAATGTGAACTTGATTGTTAACATCTTGACTTGAGAGTTGATTGCTAGTTAATTTCATGGATTGAGATTAATACTTAGAGTTTTGTTGTTGTTTTTTTTTTTTTTTTAAGAAATAAATGGCAGATGGAGAACCTTTCAGACAAGAATCTGTGTCACTATGCTGTGTGTATCCATTGGGACAGGATGAGGTTGTGGAAGCTGAGTGTGAACAGGGCTCTGCCAAGGTGGGCTCAGTATGTTTTGGTCTTTGATGGGGTTACTCCTTGGCTGTGTCACCTCTGGGCTTTGCTCTCTCCATCACTCTGAGGCACCTTTTGAGAGTCTGTGATCACAAGGACACAGGGATGAGAGATGTTCAGACAGATCACATCCTATACCTGAGACCCTGAGCTGAGATAATTAGCTTAGATTTTTCAAGACATATTTTTAATAAGGGTTCTTAGATGCTTAACCTCTCTTCTAGCCCACCACCCACCAGAAGTAGTGGAAAAGAAAGGTTATTAGGATAGGGAGGAAGCAGACCTGTTTAGAAATGGTTCTTTGGAGCAAATCCAGGTTGTGTTGTCAGTATATCAGCAGTTCAGTTCACAAGAATCAGCAACGGCAGCTGATCCAGAAGAAGCCAGAAGGCTCAGCTGTTTGCTGTTTAGAAGTAGTTCCTTGGGACAATTTCAGTCTCCAACTGACAGGATACCAGCAGTCCAGGTCAGTACTGTCAGGATAGCAAACAGGAATCATCAGCTGTGGCACAGCCCAGCAGAAACAGCCAGGCCTCCACCAAATCAGCATGAGTCAGCAAGGGTGACCAGGAACAGCAGGAACACCAGGAGAAGTTCTCTGCCATGACTCTTTCATGAAGCAAAGCAAAGATGAAGACATGAGACTGACGTAGTATTGCAAAGCCAGGCTATGCAAGCCTGCCATCACTGTCCACTGCATCCTATTACACTCCCTCAAACATCACGTGTCCTCACTCGAGCCTTGCCTTCCAGGAGTCTTGCTTCAGCAAAAATTTACATGGGTCTGTCTTAGCAAAACTTTACTTGAGTCTGTATCAGATGACATATCCAGAAACTTCCACTTCACTCTGTCAATCAGTCCAAGTCTGCAGAAGCAGAAAGAAGCTGCCAGAGCATCACCACAAGTTGTTTTTTGTTTGCTTGTTTGGTGTATTTCTCTCTATGGAGTCACGAGATATGATGACCAATAATCAATGGTAAGGTTTACCAATACCATGCAGCCTCGTCTACTGTCTGCTGGGTTTTATTTATGTTTCTTCTAAACATCATGTGTCCTTTCACATGTCTACTTCCGCAAAACATTTTTTCACCTGTGTCTACTGCAGAAAACATCATTTGACGTAACTGACTTTTTGAAGGAACCAGAAGTTTCCACTTCGAGAACATCAATCTTTCTCTCTCCTGTAACTTGGGTACTGCCCCCTGAACCCTTTATACTCCTGGACTATCTTATCTTTTAACAGCCTGTGCTCTGGAGTTAACTCCCTGAAGTCTCTTCATCTTCTTTCTTAGCTCACGGAACCTGTGGCTTGCAGCCCTGACTTGGGCATGTAGGATGCGGTATTTATCATAGTCTGCCTTAAAGTCCTGTTCATAAGCCTGTTGTTGCTCTGCAATTGGATGGCTTTGTATTGCAGGAGACCAAAGTCCTGTAACCATTTACATTAACTAATATTTATAGTACTAACGACACCGGAGGCATAAGCAGAGTTAACAACTTCCAGCTCAGCGAGGAAACTTTATTTTCTTAACCATATAGATGTCTATTACAAGCCTGATTCTACAACTAAACTGCCAGCTCTTTAGAAATCTCTTTCTATCTGTGCCATTCTTCTGAGCTAGTCTGCATTTCTCTTGAGTTTCTCCAAACCCAAGAGTGATTTTTAGCTCTCTTTCCTAGATTTCTGTTTTACCTGTGTCCTGCCAGATGCTTCTGTTGTTCCTGCAAAGTCCAAAGAGGAAAGAGGAAATCCCCATCACTTGCCCAGAGCTCCTTCCATAGAGTCTCTTCCAAGCTGGGGGCGGGGGAGAGAGAGAGAGAGAGAGAGAGAGAGAGAGAGAGAGAGAGAGAGAGAGAGAGAG